ATCCATAACACACATCATTTTTTTCAGACGTGCTTGTGATTCTTGTTCACCACTTTTTGATATGAATTCGGTACCGAATCCAGGAATCATACCCTATTGAATAAAAAAAAAGGATCGATTTATTTCAATAAATTTCTTTTTTTTTTTAACAGACCATTATTTGTCCAAATGGACCCATTTTCATGATATTTTGAAACTGTTCATACATGTCACGTAAAGTAAATTGACCTGAATAAAAATATATTTAATAATTAGTGTTCTATCAATGATTTATTAAAAATTTTTCAACAAAATGTTTGACTTGCTTGAAAGCATTTTGCATGAGTAGTGAAAGACTCTTTCGAACATCATGCAAAACTAATTTTAACGAAAATATTTTCTACTGACGATCAAACCTTTGATTTATGCATCAGATTGTAGAGTAAAAAACGTGCTGTTTGATCTTTCGATACAACAGCAAAATGTTTTGTTTTACTATCGTCATTACTTTTGAATAGTCGATTCTTTAACCAAACGACTTGTCCAAACGTAATGCTCGAGAGTTAGATAGTTCGTTCAAGTTCCATTCGACAAAAGCTGATGACTTTCTAATTATGCTATAAGAATGATCTTTTCTGAACTCACGTCTTGAACTTATAGAACCGTTTTATCTTCGCGTAATGCTGTTTCATTAAAAGATCCTTTTTCTCCAATTCCTTGCGAAAGTATTTCTTCAAACGGAATTCTTTTAGAGCATCAAACAGGCTTTTAAATGATAAAAAAGATTTTCGTCAAACTATTTTTCATCGGATGAAAAATTCAAGAAAATAAACGTAACACTGTTACACAGGTTTTTTTATCGAATAATTTTGACGCATTTAATGTATTCAGAAATATTCCTCTTTTTTGCACATATCATCATTCTAGCCAAGAGTCAGATAGCTACATAAAAACGAAGGCTCATGAATTATACAGTAATTTTGAGACTGTATAAGAATGTACGAATTGTTCTTAACGAAGAGAGTCAAAAATAGATAAACCGTTTTGTAAACAATTCAATTCTACACTGAATGATGTGTCACTCTGTAATTTTGAAGAATTCAAGACTCGATTTTCGATATCGAGATCTGAATTTTTTAAAGGACAAATATCAAACTTGTAATTAGCGTGAAAAACTACATACTCATGCTTTTATTTGTATAAAAGCTTAGGGACTGAAACCGTTAAATCATCTGATAGATACAAAATTTCTTAAATCTTTGTCAAGATATCTTCATTTTTTCATTCTTCAGATTTAAAATTCCAATTTATATGTTTAATATTGCTTTGTTTAAGTACTATAATATGTAACATCTTCAATCTTAACAATTCAATGGTGAAAATTTCTCAAACTAGATTGGCAATTTCCGTGTCTATCTGATGAGTCAATACTTTTCGTTTCACGTGATATTTTGAGGTCTGTTTTTTTCTCATTTCTAGTAGTCGGAACTGTCGTCGGAAATGCGGTTCCACTTTCGGGTAATTATCGAAATCGCCGAACTCTGTCACGCTACATTTTACTTTCACATCATACTCTGCAGAGAATTACCGAGGAACAAATCATTAATGATTATGTATATTCGATAGCATACTGATTGTATTGTGACATACACTTGCTCTTGTGATTAGTTATTGTGTATAAAAAGTGCAAGAAGTCTGCGTCTGATCCAGAGCTACAGCTAATTATAGTTGTAGGGAAGATATTAGATAAAAGAATCTGCCACTAGGCAGCGCCAAATATCACAAAGTAGCTCAAGTGGAAGGATATTCTTCTTCTTCTTTCTATAGAGAATTATGCGCTCAAAGCGACTTCTGTAAGGAGTGAATATCTTTTTATTCGATGCTAAGTCAAATTGTTCGAAACTTTAAAAAACTCTCAATATTATCATATAAAAAATAGATACACACTTTCTGAACTCATCTGCGGCAAGAACATCAGATTCTTATCCAAATCCATAAGTTCTAACTGAACTAGTATACTGTCAAAGAGATATATTAGGAAAAAAAATCATATCTCTAATCAATGGTGACTCTAAGCAACTATAGTTGATTGTTGCTTGTCTTATCACTATACTAGTCAGGATTTGTACTCACTAGTAATAGTGACGAGTAGTAACTGATATAGATTAAATCAGAAAGAGTCGAACAAAAAAAACTATTATGCAACTACAATTTTATTGCTATGGCAGTGTCTCGAATATTTTCAAGCAAGTCAAAAATTTTGTTCAAAAAATTTCTGCAAACTCAGTTTTTAAATTACCATGTTTTAATTTTTCAATTAATTCTTCATTATCTTCCAATTTCAAATCATTGACTTTTTCAACTAAGCCTTGTATATCACCCATACCCAATAGTTTACTGATAAATGGTTTAGTTTTAAACACTTCAAAATCATCAATATGTTCACCTGTACCAATAAATATAATTGGACTTTTCGTTGCAGCAACCCTAAAATAATCAATAATAACACACATATATGTATATATATATTTCATACAACATACGCGCTTAGAGCTCCACCACCTTTAGCATGACTATCAAGTTTAGTAACAATGACTGAACCGACATCAACTTTTGATTTGAATGCTTGCGCCTTAAAATTATACAAATAAGTAAAATAAACATAATAATTAAATCAAACATACTTGTAATTCGCAAGCTTGACCAATACTAGCATCCATTACGAAAATGATATTATCAGGTTGCTATACGAGAAAAAAAATACAGAATTAATTGAAATTGAAATTTATCTAATCTTCTTACAATTCCATTAGAAATTTGAAGCATTTCTTCGAATAATGATTCTTCTTGTGCATGTCGACCACTTGTATCAACAACAATTAATTCAAAATTATCTTTACGAAATGTTTCAACACCATCCATAGCAATAACTAATGGATCACTTTCCGTATAACTAAAGAAAAATTACATTATATTCTTTATCTATAACAAAAACAAAATATATATATATTTACCTGCCATAAAAAGGTATACGTGCTTTAGTTGCATTTTGTTTCAATTGATCAAATGCACCAGCACGAAATGTATCGGCACATACTAATGCTGTTTTCCAACCACGTCTCAAATAATGATAAGCATACTAAATTTAAATAAGAAAATAATTTACTTTCAATATATAATGAAATATTTACTTTTGTACATGTTGTGGTTTTTCCACTACCTTGTAAACCAACAAACATAACAATATTAGATTTATTTTTGACTGGTTGCCATGCTTTAACTTCAGGATCAATGAGCTATTAAAAATTAGTTTATTTCATTTTTTTTAATTAGTTTATTTGTTACATACTCGAACAAGTTCTTTAACAACAGCTGATTGGATTAATCGACGTTTATTTAAACCAACAGCTGTTTCTTCTAAGTTTATTGCTTGTCTATTCATAGAAATAGAATATATTAGTAAACTTGCAAGTTTAGAAAAATCTAAGTAATTTATTTCAATTTACAGACTTTTCTAAATTTTGTAAGGGTATTGTTCATACTTCAATATGATTCTTTTCGAAGACTATATCATTTTATTATTGAACAAACAAACCTAATTATCTCCTATGAATATGAAAACAAAGGTGTCTGGCTTCATAATGAAAATTCGTATTTGACTTAACTTATTTAGTGAATTATTGAAAAAATATTCTTTCTTTCTAAAATCAGTCAATGATAATAGATTTATACTCTTGTCAAAGATAAGACAGAGAAATTTCAGCTTTTTTCTTCAAGAAAGTAAGAAAAAGAAAGTCGAGACATTATATATAAATGAAGAATAAACATTAAAACGAAAGAATTCGAAAGATTATCAGTTTCTGGAAAACCTGAAACGTTTAATAAAAACTAAAGAAACTCGTTATTTCATTACGAATAATTATATTAAGTCTCAAACTTAACTAAATCAGGGTTCATTTCCAATATGTTTATATATCAAATATCGCTGCATCAATTCGATAAGCTTCTGGAATATTTCTATAAATTCTGTTATACATTTTATTATCAGGAAGTGATTAGACTTTCATACAAAAAAAACTCATACCACAAGTTTTTTTTTATGGGGTAACGTCAAGATTTGGGTTTAATGAGACTACTCAATAACAACGAAGAGCCTTTACCTACATGACATTCGAGAGTGAACATTTCGTAATATTACTGATGAACAACAAAAAATCGAAAAAATTTAATTCTAATATTCAGATAGAGAAAAGTTCTAGAACTCATCGGCTTCCAAATTTTCAGATCCGGATCCGGCTAATCGAACGTTTTGAGTGTTCAGATCCAATTGATTGAAATTTTCTAACCCGAATAGGATAGCTGTTTTGAAGATAGAAAATTCGTTTTATCGGATATTTTTGTATTTAGTATCCAGTGCCCTCTACACATTCGTCAGATAGCTTGATTGACGAAAGTATAGGGTAAAGCTCATCGAACCCAGGACGAAGCCGGTAGGGTCTAGGAGATCGCGTTCAGCGGTGGATTTACGCACATACCTTGGAGGACAATCACTTTCCTTTCAAAAGGTTTTTCTCGATTTCTTTCAGAAGAACAAGCTTAAAAATGATCTTCAAAAAGTGGTTCGTGATGATAAGAGTTCCCCCATCATAAAAATCTTAAATTCATCATTGGTTCCTTTACATTTTATCTATTGTGAAATATAGAACATATTTTATATAATTGCACTTACTTAACATTTTCACGTAGTTGTTTAACTAAACGAACATTAACATCAGCTTCTAATAAAGCTCGACATATTTCTCCCAAAGCTTCATTTAAAACTTGTTCATTAATAATAGTTGCATTACTTAAATTTCGTAATGCTGATGAAAGACGTCGACCAAGATCAGCGAGAACCATATTTCTAAATTTATCTAGAATTAGACATACAATCATACATACTTTTTATTTGACAACAAATACATTTATATATATATATAAACAGATTATCGTTTAATACAAACGAGAAACGAAAAAGATTATTAATGAGAAATTGCTCGATAAAAAATATTATATGGTTTAGACATATGACTCCAATATTGTTCAAGTAATTTATCAAGTGTCAATGTATTTTCAATAGGTATATCATCATTTATTTTAATAAACCATTGAAATTCTTGTTCAATAAATGTTGAATTTTGTTGTTCAATTTTCATTCTTGTATTTATAAATTTCGACAAATGATTTATAGTTGCATTTAATGGTGTTAAAATTTTTCTTGTTGTATATATATTAAGATTATTTAATGGTTTAAGTTGTAATTCAATATCATTTATTGTTGGTGTTGAACCAGCTGATGATGATGATTCTGAAATACGTTTTTTCTTTTTTTCTTTTGTTTGTTGTTGTTGTTGTTGTTCATCATCCGATGATAAACTTGCACGTATTGGTTTTTTTGAATGTTTATTACGATTATTCAATAATAAATCATCATTATCATTACGTATTGGAAATAATTTTGATATTAATGCATCAATATTTTGATCACGACGTAAACATCGTTTTGATATTAATTTTTTTCGACATGTTGGACATTCTTTATTTCCACTACGTAATGCTGTTTCAATACAATCACAACAAAAACGATGTAAACATTCTTTTGTTGTACGTGTATTACGTAAAAGATCAAGACATATTGGACATGTTAATTCACTTTGTAAAGATTTTGGACTTATAAGTAATTCTTCATCATGTAATAATTCATGTGGTTTACGTTGTTGTTCATATGGTGTTAAATCCCATGTTAAACCAGTTTTAAAACCAGATGAATTATTTGGTGTATCGGATGAATTCATTTGTGATGAATTTGAAACGTTTGTACTTGTTGAACGACTAAAATAGTTTGACGAAACAAACTTAGAGAATATATAAGAAAAAATAATAAAGAATTTACATCATTATATTGATTGAATATTAGCAAATTACTAACATTGATGAATGAAATTTTCGAATGAAAATCTGAAATAAAATATTAGTGTTTTTTTTTTTCATTCATATAGCCCCTTCTTTCCATCAACGATACTCATATAGATACAATCATTGATGGATGTTATCATTATAGTATATCACCTGTTATGGATCTAAAGAAGTGCAATATAAACCTTAAAAGGTGAAGTATCACTTTTTTTCGACAAAGTCTACAATGTAAACTTGGCTATTATCATATAAGAACATAACTTGCTTATTTGATGTAGAGAGTGGTTCATAAAATATAATTTTTCTTGGCGAAATTTATATTCTGTCCCGTAGAGAAAGTAATGATTTCGTAAAAACAAAACAAAAATATATGGATATTTATATTATATTAAGAAGGAAGAAATAAACAGATGACGAAAACTGCCAACATCAACCAATGGCATGTAATAGATGTTGTTATTGTTAGTTAGCATTAGTAATTTTAATACATTGTAAAATATTATTAAAAAGTTGAAATATTCTTCTAAAAATAAAAATCAAATCAAATCAAATATATCACGACATTTTGATTAATAGCGACATCTACAAATGAACTTGAAATTTTAGTCAATCACAACCAATTAAACAGTGACTGTTATACTAAATAGAATATGTTTGCTGAAAAGTAAATAATAGACTTAATTCTTCTTGTATTTGATTTTGAATATGAAACAGAGCTTCAAACAGTACGAATCTAATATTTTCGCACAACGAGAGTGATAATGATGAAAGAACATGTTTTCAAGTTCTTTAACGATTGTACCAGCTGATTTTTGCACAAAATCTGCTGAGAAAAATCGAAAAATATTTCGGAAGAAAAAGGCGACCGTTCTCAGTGCGTATCTCTACATTTGCCACTGATTTAAAATGATAATCTCATCGATGAACACATTTTGGAAAGCAACTTTTTTTCGTACCAGTCTATAGGAAATTTTCTCCTCTTTTCAAACATATATATAGACTTTCTATTTATTACACATTTATAAAATAACAAAGAGGTACAGTACAAGAAAATGCTGATGTTTGTAAAGACTTGTGAAAAAAGAGACCTTGAAGACAAAAATTATTTTAGTTTTATTTTTGTCAACTCATAAAAAAAGTGATCTACGATAGTAGTTAGTTTATTTTTTATGAATTGACTATAAAGACTCTCGTAAACCAATAATTAATTAAAATTTAGCGTTATTGTACAAAACTTTCTCGACAAACCCATTCAAATAACCGTTAAATGATAAGACGAGTGTTTCCTTTTGTTTTTGCATCATATTTACGCATGTATGTATATCAGAAAAAACTGTTTACATGTTGAACAAGCAAAAACGTTCCTATCAATCAATAAAAAAAAACAAGAATCTTTGTTATGGAGTGCTTTCGTCGAAAAGAAAGGCGAGTTAATATTTTTGATGTTGGCAGTTTATAGAAAAATATAGACTTAATCTATAGTTTTTTTTTTCGTCTTTCCTGCATCATTCTATACATGAGTATACGGCAATTAGTTACATACGGTTTAAAAGAGAAGTACATATAACAAGTAATAGAAAACTCTTCCTTCCCGAATGTTTGTATTGAAAATATTGATCAATATTTCGTGGTATTATATTTTTGCGTCGTATGTTAAATTCAATTCAATACTTATTTGATTTTTGTCTATATGAATTTCAAAAACATTTTTATCTAAGAAAAAATGATTCGATTAGCTAGATTATTTTTCTATTCGATCTAATATTAAAATGAGAAAAATGCCAGATGCTTTCTATTCATTGAATCAGCCATTATCAAGTGATTTTAAGTTTGGTACAAAAAATATAATCGCTTTTGTTAGTATATTTATTTTTTTTTTAACAAACAATAAATAACAGATATATGGAATTCAAACTTGTTGCGAAGTTCACAATTGCACTGAGAGATGAAATATTTATTTTATCTATATTTTTTTCTGAGAATGAAACATTTAAAATGGTGACAAATCAATGATGTTTCTTATCTACTACTACTGGAATCTTTACTTTGCTTCATTTACTGTTTTATACGAACAGTAGAGTGATGATACCTATGAACGAGTAGATACAATAATATTGATTAGCATTAATACTTTAGGCTCCATGGGCAACTGACACTACCATTTTTAGAGACATTACAGAAAATCCAGAACACGGGATATGAAAAACAAAAACGTCTTACACACATTGTGTCAGGAAATTCTTAAACTATCAATTGACAAAAAGAACTATTAGATTATTCAAAATGGGCATCTTTTGTTCGTTTTAATTGCTTTTTTTATTAACGAGAAATATATATTTAGATGATGTGCTATGCAATAAATATTAGCGAGAGTTGCTGATATTAGATAAAATGCATTTCAAAATTTTCACATGAATCAGTTAACCAAGAGATTGTACGATATAAAATGGCAACTAAAGTGGCTAATTGGGAGTAAATTTATATATATTTGGAGTCTATAGTTGAATAATTGCATGAGAAAAGTATTGATCATAGGATTGTACAAAATGAAACTTGTTGGAAAATAATAAAACTTTTTTGATTATTTGTTATTTTTATTTGCTCTTTTGATTTTAAAAGAATCAATTCTAATTTTAAAAAAGTTCTCAATAAAAATATTTTCTTCATTAAACATTAACCCATAGTCTGTTAGCATTCAAAAATTTAAGTGTATATGCTACTATTTCTTAGTTTTAGTCTAACTGAAAAACTATTCAATAATGATTAGTTGAGTATCATGTTACTTATCTACCTTGTCATGTAATCAAATATATGTTCAAGTTTTATTCATTGAAGCGAATTCATTTATATTCAAAATCACGAATGCTAAATCAAGACGCGAATTCACTTACAAAGGTACTGTAATCGACATATTTTCACTTGTTATACTTATTTATTTTGTTACTCAAAAATCAATATTGCATCAATCACTTCATCTGACCACTAGAATCGACGTCAACTCTTTTATCAATGTAACTGATGGTTCTCGAGCGTTGATACACCGATGATTACTCTATCAAGTTACCATACTTGTGCTATCAAGCTCTTGTACTGCTGTTATTGAATCTTTCGTTCTGTTATGTATTCATGAAGATCATAGAGTAATAAAAAGGATACAAAAAATTGATGTGAAAATGGTATATAAGCGCAGATAAAGGATTTGCATGCACTTATCAGTGGAACCCCTTCTATGAACGCGTAAAAATTTTCCATGGAAATGCTTGCCTTGAGAAAATGTTTCCATATAGTCCTGCTTAGTTTCAAGAAATATTTTATATTAGTATTGACATCTGCATGGTTTCGCTTGCCAGCATGTCCGTACGACAGTACTTGGCGGATCCATGCGAGAAATTATTATATATTTGTGTAACCATGAGGAAAAAGCAACGTCAACACCAATGTTTTGAATTTGAACGCAAGTTTTTGCATACTCTATGCGCTTTCAAATGTAGTCGCGTCATTTACTCTCGACTAAGAACAGAATAAGAAAAAAGTGAAGGTTGGTTGTTCGTGTAGCACGTGCTCGCTCGCTCGCTCACTTGCAAGTCATTCTCTTTTTTTTCTTTAATGTCACAAGCAACGTTATACTTCTGTTTTATTCTTTCTTCTTAGAGTTGATAAACACAACATTTTCTTTCAGCATCATGTGGTTCGTGCTTTTACTAGTGGCTTTCATAATATGGATATTTTATCGACTCTTTAAATTTTGGATTATCGATCCATGGCTCATTCATCGTGATCTATGGGCTCAAGGTGTTCCAGGACGGCATATTCCAATAGTAGGCGAAATATTGCACATTCGTAAAAGTATTCTTGCCGAAAACCCATTTGAACATAGCACAGTTTTGGCGACACAATTCGGTAACTATTATCGTGTTTCGTTTGGTCCCGTTGCTCGTTTAGCTACATTTGATCCAGCCTTGATTAATGGTGTTCTCAAAACCAATGCTCGCGCTTACCACAAACCATACATCATGCGACTAGTTCTAGGAGTATTATTAGGAAGAAATAATCTTTTAATGGCCGAAGATGAAATCCATGCTCAACATCGTCGATTGATAGCACCTGTATTTCAACATCAAAATTTAAACTCTATGATATCCCTCATGGTTGACATTACATTGAATCATATTCAAAAATGGTCGACTGCTGCTATTGCTGCTCATCATGATAACAAATCACTAACTCTCAATATGCATGAGAAGATGGCACGGTTGACATTAGATATTGTTACAGGCTGCGTATTTGGTACGGAGATAATCTCTGATGAAAATGTGCATGAAACAATTTATCGAGCTGTAACAGAATCACTTGAATTAATGGAAAAACGTTTGTATAATATGATTGCTATCATTCCAATTATCAATCGTCTTCCATTGCCAAGCAAACGACGTATTGATAAATGTATTTCTGAAGGAAAAAACATTATTCGACGAATCGTCGACGACCGTAAGAAAGGATTGACAAAGTCAGCTTGTAAAGGTTTGAATCATTCATGCTTCATCTTCTCATCGATCATCTATTCTATGTTGACCGATAGGTCCTGATTTGCTTGATCTACTCTTATCAGCTCGCGGTGAGGACAAAACAAGCAAATTCACTGATGAAGAAATCTACGAAGAGGCACTAACTTTTGGTGAGTCTCAAGTGTCAAATATTTTTAGTGAAGAACAGAAATGCTATTATTCTTATGTAAAAACTTTTGATCACAAGTTAGATTTAATTCGATTTAGTCAGCTGCAAAGACAGATTTTTCTAGTTTCTCTTATTTTTTTCAAGATTCAGTTTGATTAATTTACTTTATTAATCGGTTTGCAAAGATTAATCATTTGAAATTGAT